TTTAAGAGCCATGAACTGTTGTTGTTTGAGGTCGTACTGTGGCCACACTAGACCGATGTCGGCCGGTTTGTTGGGATCCCTGTTTCAATGAATAGATCCAGATTTGATGAGTTTTGTATGCATAACAATCTGGCCTCTGTGTGCATACAATATTTCTAATTACTGTCGCTTTAACCCTGATCTGTACCGACACTCACCCTGTTTTAGCGAAGTTGGTCCACATTCTTATCACTGCTCGACTAAAGTTAGCATCTTTGGTGTAAACTGAAGCGTTGGATGCAGCAGCCAGGGAAAATGGCTGACCAAACACGACCGGTCGGTCTGCAGCGTGATGCGCACCGACCCAAGATGGCACAGGATACAGCTCCGCGGTATAATTAAAGCGATACTGAAGCTGATACATGTATGTTTTTACAGACTTACTGGCCAGTGCTCTAGCCGTCTTGATTGCAGGAGCAATGAAGAGAACATCTGCAAGCATATCTAGAAGCATTCTTCTGTTTCTGTAGCGATCTGTGACGTTGTCCCAGTCCGTGTAGCGGTAGAGAATGGCTTCGTTGATAACCTTGTTTTGACCTCGTACAATCCAGTTTATGTACCCTTTTCGTAGCAATGATTCAAAGAGCGATCTCTCGAATCCATCAGTGACGTTAAAGATCATTGCTACACCTGAAGTGAAAATATAATGGATGATTACCGATAGCAAAGCATACCAGCTCTGTTACCGCGTATATGTATTTATGCACCTTGGACTGCATTAGTGAGGACTGTTCCTTCATCATTGTTAAATCCTATTAGAATATTAASACTGATGTTTCTGCTGGCAAGCAAAGCTTCTGGAGTGTCTAATAACAGAAAGTGAGAAGCGAAATTGTTTATTTTTATATATTATTTAAAAAGTAGAGCTTTGCGCTATGGAGTTTCCTTACCTGAAGGTAAAAATGATCCTCCTACGACTGGACCAAGCAATAGAGTAGTACCTCTTAGCGCTTTAGTGCTCCTAACAAGTTCTTTAAAACTCTTGGTCTTCATACAGTCTGCCAAGCTGTCTATGCTTTCACACCCAACGGCTTTTCCAACCATCCTTGATGAACAGGTATAGTTAACTAATATAGAGCCTGATAAGGTTTAGTTATCAACTAACTAAGAATTCTTTGATGCATAAACAAAGACAATTTCCTTTCTGGCATTGTGTTCATGCACCAGTGAATTCTTAGTTAGTTGATTATCAACTAACTAAGAATTCTTTGATGCATAAACAAAGACAATTTCCTTTCTGGCATTGTGTTCATGCACCAGTGAATTGTT